TTTAAAAATTCTTTAAAATTCTTTCATTTTCCTCATGACTGGTGAGGCCACGCCTCCCCTGCCTCTAGTGACTGCACGTCCCTGCTTCTGACCCAGGTTAAATTTTTATTCAATTGGCAGGACAAGCAAAATTATGAGGAACATCACCATGGGACATCCTCATATCACAAAACAAGCTCTTAAAATGAAGGACAGGTTATAGGGCCAGCTGGAGCCGAATTGATTCCTTACATCATGTAACCAGGCAAAAACATCAAATACTGGGCCTCATGAAGGTGCCCCAATAAGAAGCATTCTTTAGCAGTAAAGTAAAAGGTTGCAGGATTGCAAATGAAAGTTGTCTGGGCCTTCCCAGACAATAATTCAAAAGTAGGTGCTCTGTTGCTTCCCCCACCACGTTCAGCCAGGAATCTGAAATGAGACCAGGGGTCGTATAGCATCTAACGGTGCTTAAAATAATTCCTAATTCCTTTCCTCTTTTTGTAGATTTAATGCCAATCTTCGGCATATGTTTGAACGGAGGACAAAGAATGTAACAAATATGGTGAATGGATTAGCAAATAATACTGAGATGGATGACAGCAGTAATTGTGATGCTACAGTGGTATTACTAAAGAAAGGTTCCAGTAAGTCAACCTGCTTGCTTATAGAACTCTAACATTTAATGAGCTAGATACTCAGGGACAATTTAGGCATTACTCGAATTTGCTGTGTCTGTTGTGCTTTTAAATTGTTCGTATTGTCTGATTGCCTTTGTCTTACTTTTCGTAATTTCCCCTCCTTGGCTCTGTTCAGCCGCCCTGAGTCCCTTCGGGGAATAGGGCGGCCTACAAATTGAATAAAATCCAAATCCAAATCCAAATTATTTTTGATCCAATTGAATTTCATCCATTCTATTTTCCAATCAAATCAATAGCAATGATATGGACCCTCATTTACAAGTCCCAACTCCAAAGCTATTATTTGCTGCACTTAGCAACCACTGGGCACAACTGGTTGTGTTAAGGTTACTTTCTCTTCTACCCACCCCACTGAACCTAACTGTAATATAAATCAATTTCAAGGAGAGCGCCAAGCAGAGGATAGACAGATGGATGGATGGATGGATGGATGGATGGATGGATGGATGGATGGATGGATGGATTGAAGGAAGGAAGGAAGGAAGGAAGGAAGGAAGGAAGGAAGGAAGGAAGGAAGGAAGGAAGGAAGGAAGGAAGGAAGGAAGGAAGGAAGGAGACAGGGGGTGGGTTGGCTAGTTGGAGTTAGGTTTTATGAGTACAGTAGAGTAACTCTTTCTCAGCAGATTTTGAAATATTTTACTAGCCTCGGATGTGGTATATATTTTTTTTCTATTAACTGTATAAGGTTCTAGTGCTAGTTGAACCAACTGAATTTCCTTTTATAAACTGTTTTAGATGCTTCATATTCTGGCACTGGTTTGTATATCACTATCTCACTGTAAATTAAGCCACATTGAATACAATTTGGAAACTCCTGTATTCATTTTTAAATGTTCACCTTTTATATACTATATTTATTTTTTATATAATAAGTGAAGTAAACTGTTTTTCTGTTGTCACTAAGCATTCCTTTAATCATTACTTTAGATGCTCTTTCAGATTTAGCTGAAGAATGAGATAGGAAGATCTTAAATAAAATAAAGCGAAGAGGCAAAATGAGTCCATTCTCATTGTCATTAATAGCCAGTTTTCAAACCTGATGAAGGAAGAAACCAAACTTCACTCGCTCAAAGAGTTAACAAATTACTCAGCTTTTTCTGCTAATAGCGGAAATAACTGAGCATTCCTCCCTTTACCATGTCTACTTTCGCAAGTCTTCTCAGCCTGCCTCTCTCCCTCCCTCTCATTTGCCTACTTGTCCTTAGACAGGCAGTAGAAGTGCTGTATCACTAGCATTTGCATCCTTCAAAGTCGGCTGAAGGAATGATGGGAGTACACAGCTAAAGAGAAATCTCTTGTCAATATTTAAGGGTTTATGTGGAGCTGCAAGTGTTCTTCAGCCCCCTTAGCAGAATCTGGAGGTGGAGTGACACCTATGGGCCAATTCTGGCACAACAATGTTATAAAATAAACTTAGTTTGATGTCTTAGCATTACATCTGAACCAGGTCATTAATTTGTTCAACCAGCTGTTATGAAAAATCCTGGTTTAGCAGTATGTATGGACACAATATCTAATCTCAGATTGTGGGGAAGTACATGAAGAGAGGGCCTCCACTTTTCCAAAAAAGGAGTAGGCAATTTGTGGGACTAAGACAGTGGCCATTTTTACCTTTTTTTTTTTAGAAAGTTAATGTTATTAGGTCAAAAGTGGGAAAGTGGGAACTTTTAAGTAAAGGCAAAATGTCTTGGACTCAAGTTCTTTGGCAACAATATAGAAGTAGTTGGATGCTATCTTTCCCTGAGATGTTTTTCAACTTCCTATTATACATTTCATCTCTTGGATTTCCTGGATTCCTCTCACCATCCAAGCACAAAACCAGTTCCAACCCTGCTTAGCTTCCAGGACTTCCATAACACATGACCATGGGGATGCGGCAGTGATCATAAATGTGAAAAACCAGTAATAAGTTATTTTTCTCAGTGCTATTGTAACTTCAAATGGTCCTTAAACAAATAGTTGTAAGTTGAGGATTATTGTACAAACAAAAATAGAAAAGTATTTCTTAATAGACTTGTATAGGATTCTACTATTAATCACAACCGCACTTCATCTGTTTACATGTGCAGCTAAAAACCTTTTTAGATTTAGTAAGAAATATTATCTGGAGGACAATGCCCTATTATATTCTACTTTGGAAACTAAGCTGCTGTCTACATTAGGAGTCTGAATGGCTCAAACAATAATATTAAATATTTTGTAATTTGTTACATCTGTAGCTGACTATGTAGCATAAGATATAGATCAGCATTGTCGGAAGCATAGTGGATTATTATTCTAGTCTGTAAACTGGTTAGGAACAAAAATCTGTAATTTATAAAATTAAGCATCCATATACCTCTGGTACAGTATATATCCATAAATTATCATTTTAAAGTTACCTACAGTTTATTTTTCTGTTATAAATTATATATAAATATCTAGAATTTTGTAGTGTTTATCCAAAAATATATTTGGCCAACATTAGCAGATACAAAAATATGATAATAGAGGCAAAAGACAGTGGTGAATGGACTCAATACACGTAGATTTTTCAGAATTAATTATTGTATGTTTTTAAAAATTAGGGAGATGCTACTAAAATGTTAAATGGAATTAAGGCCAAAAATATAATATCTTGTAGAACTTTCAGATAAGAAAGATTGATGATGCAAAAGACATTTTTCCTTCCAATTCTGTTAATTTTTTTTAAAGGAAATTTCCACCACAAAGCCTCTGTAATCATGGTGGATGAGTTGCTGTCTGCATATCCACACCAGCTATCCTTTTCAGAGGCTGGACTCCGGATTATGATCACAAGTCACTTTCCTCCCAGAACCCGGCTCTCCATGGCCAGTCGCATGTTGATCAATGAGGTATTTACTAGGTTTTATTCAAAAGTTACAAACCACCCTTTCTCTTACTCCAACTATTAACTTTTGCCACCTTTCATCCTGCCCAGAAAGCATTATCTTAGCAGGAAGAAAGCAGGAAAGGAATGGTCTCTTCTGTTCAGTCCTAATGTTCTCCTGCCTGTGGGGAAGACAATTTAACTGAGAAGGCTTCCCTTGTGCCTTGATAACTTCATACTAACAGGAATTTGGTTAGTCAGAATTTGTGGTTCATATAACACAGTAAAAGCACTACATTCTGAGTCTGCTTGCAGCACTCAGTTATAAGAGGACATAAAGGGAATATTTGGGTCAGCAGGCTGTTAATTCCTGGCAAACCAGAATTTGATATGGTATGTAATAATCTGACTCCTCCCATTCACTTCCAGAATCTTTGTCATTGGGATGGTTTCATTAGCCTTTGGAGTTCTTATAAAAGTTCAGGTTCATATATGGTGGACCTGCCAAAAGGTTAAGGCATTCTGGATAAAAATATGGTGGATTATGCAAAATATCTTTAAAAGAAGGATAAAGTTCACT